AGAGAGAGAGAGAGAGAGAGAGAGAGAGAGAGAGAGAGAGAGAGAGAGATCTGCTCAACAAGGACAAACTATAAACCCCAACATGGATCCACCTCCTCTAGCCATATCCTACCTGCCTGAAGTTACCACCAAGTTAATCCCCATGAGGGGATTAATGCACTGATTAGGTTAAAAGCACTCACAGCCCAATCATTTCACCTCTAAAACTTTCTTGCACTTTCTCACACATGAGCTTTTGGGGTACATTTCACATCTAAACCACAACACTGAGGATTGGTGAAAACATTCTCAAGGTATCATCTTGTTGGTCACTGTAGGCCACCGAAACAGGTCTCTGTGGCAATGAAGAGATAAGACAGCATTGGGTATTTCATTCTGAGAAGCCAGTGAGCAGAGTGAGGACCCCAAGGCCACCAGAGTGAGGGGTTTTTCCTCACCGGGGTTCTGCTCAACTCAGATCTGTTTCCTTCCTGCTTCTCTCTGTAGTCAATTCCTAACCACTCTTTGTGTGTTTCTATTTAAAGCAATGATAGGTAACACAAACATTGAAAGAAAAAAAATCTTTAAATACATGGCTATGACCCAATAAAATAAATATCATGATGAAGTTGTTTCTAAACATCTGGAAATGACTGTTTAAATATTTAAGAAATAACTTAGCATAGGCTATTTTTTATGAAAAATTCAATGTGGCCAGGTAGTCACACAAAATCTATAACTGAAAAATTTTAAGAAATATCAGAAAACTCTTAAAGACCTAAACACCAACCTCTACAAGTATGCATTCAAGTACAGTTCTAGTGTACCTCTTATAAATTTGAGCTTATAAGTAACACTGTTAATAGCCAATGATTATTTGGCACAAATACTACTCACACTTGTATGAACCTGTGTGCCAACTCCAGCACAGGTGTCATGTGGCGAAGAGCTTCTTTTGCCTAAATAAGGAAATGGAGACCCAGAGGACAGAGCTGATTTTTTTTTTTTTTTGAAAGATTACTCAAAAAGCCAGTATAGGAGTTCTGAAGAAAGGTTGAGTCTCTGGGCTCCTGACTATTTATGAAATCCTGACCTTGCCCTGGTAGCACTGCAACAAGGCCAAACATGACAAGGATTGGAATTTACAAATAAGCAT